CTATGTGGGTTGGCACACAGCGAGTTTACCGACCTTACGAACTTTAATTATTTCGTTCGGTGCAATGAAGTAGTTACGTAATTACTTTTGATTTGCTACTTACGCGTTCCATTTTCAGATTAACGTTAACCGCAGTCAAAGTACTCACTCTCGGGTTTCCCTGCTACAATCATAGCTATCAGGAGTTGCCAAGAATGCAGTGATGACGGCAATGAATCGATTATTATAATCGAAGAATCCATCTGAGCATTCCACAAAAGACAGCGTCTGACATTTCATTTTCACTTCAACCCTCCCGTGATTCTGAACTCCATCGTTCTCTGAGTGCCTATTTCAGGGATTAATAGTAAATAATAATAAGTTAGCATTAATCACCCTCACCACTAACAGCATGTATTGCTTCCCCCGCTTTTTAACCCCGCTAATTCAAGATGCTTCCCGCAGGCCCGCCCAGAAATGGGGAGATCGCGCCGAGCTGGACGTCTAGTCCAGCTCAGACGTTTGGCAAGAGCATACGCAACACCTGGGGTCTTTGACCCCAGGGTGTTTGACTCCCCTGCAAGACCAATACAACCCTCGCTTCCGCCTCCGCCCCCTCATCCATACCCCCTGGTCGGGATAAGTCCGCCTCAACCCCCTACAGGAGCAACGAACCGGGTGCCACCAAGCCCACCCCCTTCCCCTTCTTACCCACGCGCCCCTGACCCCTGCCCGGTCAGGGCATGGGCACCGCGCCCACCGGTAACACTAGCACCTAGGGCACCGACGGCGGCGCTCCAAGTGGCACCCCTCCCCCGGCCTACGGAACGAGGCAAGAGGGCTCCACCAGGACCGAGCCCAGCCAAGCCCCAGGCTCCCCTGAAGAGGGTCAAACCACGTGTGATACGGATTGAGGCCCTCCCACAGAAGATTCGCCTCGTCAGGCGACCCAGGGGCCAGCTGCGAGACGTGAAGGACATGCCCGCACTACTGTAGCTTCGCCCCTGTTACCACCTTCCTTTTGTTGCTTCGTTGCTCGCCCTACCTCTCTCTCTTTTATGTACATTATCTTCCGTCGTTAAATACACTTAAGTTCCTCCCACAGATTTCTTTTCATTTACACGCCACACTGCCCCTCATTATCCTTGTCTCCTAGCGAGACACGCGCCCCCACGAAAAGTGGACGTAACAACTATAATCTGTGATAATTTAATTTTTATCAAACATATAAAAACCATTGTTGCTGCTGCAAATAAAACTCTCGGATTTGTTCTCCGCTGGGGCAGATATTTTAGAATGTATACACGTTGAAACTACTATATTGCGCACTGGTTCGTCCTAAGCTGGAGTACTGCTCTACCGTGTGGTCTCCTTATTATAATTGTCATCGCAACCTGATCGAGCGTGTACAACATAAATTTTTGCGTCTAGCCGCTTTTCAAATGGGCGTTCCAATGGCGATCACCTGCCACAATTACCACCCCATATCCAACTTAATAAACATACTCTCTCTAGAGAAAAGAAGGCAGTTATTTGATCTAACTTTTATTTATAAATTAATTAATCATCTTATCGACTGTCCAGATTTATTAAGTAGGATTAAATTAAACGTTCCACTAAGGCAATACACCATTTTCCATGCTGAGCCTCATAGAACTGAATATGGAATAAATTCATGTATCTCCAGGCTGGTGATTTCTGCGAACCATTATTCTTGTTCTATCGACTTTTTCGGCAACAATCTATCTACATTTAAGCGCAAGCTTCTCCATCGACTCACATAAAAAAATTTTATAATGTAATTTTTATAACCTTATTTTAATCACAGATTCGTATATGTTAAGACGCCACAATTAATTCACTATGTTAATTCACTGATCTAATATGTTGTTTTATTTTAAATCATATTTTAATCCAACGAGATGATTTTGTTCTCTTTTGTATACTAAAGGGTTATCCCCGTCAATAAAGATTTATTATTATTATTATAATAAAGTACCGAAAAGAAAATTGCATTATTTTTATTTTATATAAGGTACTTGTAAAAAATCAAATAATCGAAGAACAAAATAAACTTCTAACACCTATGTACAGGTGCGACCTATATAACTAATGGCACAGTTACACGTTTATTATTATGCTTATAACAAAAGATAAGTTTTAACAAAAATAAAACCTTTATCTCTAAATCTAATTGTAACATTACTACATAAATGTTGAAACATTTTTATGTCAAAACTTAAGCATGGAACAGAAAAGATTACTTTATAGGTACACAGCCTTTCACAAATAGATAAACAAAATAAAATGTTATCTTTTTCTCTAATTTAACACTAGTAACGTTGTATCCTTTTATATCAGTGCAGTTATTAAAAATAAACAAATATATTTTTTAACTATCGATAAGCACCAAATATATCAGTCTTTTTTGTCAATTATACTTGGACATCCACCTTTCCTGTAAATTTCCGCGACACGACAAATATCTGAAATGCATAATAATTTCTTATCCTCTGGTACGGTTTTCATTATATATTGCAACATTAGCATTTCTTCATTATTGGCAGCCTCAGTAGGACACGAGATCTTCGCTGCGACTTCTGCCGCACTTTTTGAAAGTTGCTCTATGCAACTCCTAATAATTTGTTGATCATTGCCCTTCCTTCTTGTATCCGGTTCAGGTACTTTATGCTGCAATATCGAATTTATTGCTTTACCCCGAATGGTTGGGGACTTTCCACTCAGTGATGTTTTACACTGCGAAGTTGACATTTGTGCCGATGTTTTTGCTTCAGTAGTGGACTCAGTAGATGGTACATCTGATGTTACATCAAAAGTAATGCTTGACTCATCCATGTCACTGAGTACTGTAAAAATTTACATTTGGAAAATATATGTTAAGACACACCCATATATGCATATATGTATATGCAAAGCAACAAGGATAAAATTCTTACATGAGTCATTGTCACCTGAGGACACGTATTGCGCAGAGATAGATGGAATATCAATAATAATGCTTTCTGTATTTGAACGTTTCGACAACTCTTCTTGAAACATATCTCTAATGAGTGACTCGCTTCTTTTTCTCTTAGGTACATCTTTTGGCACATTAGTTTCTTCTGTTAAAATCTGTGTTTCACCGATCGAGGAGCAGGAAGATTCATAGTCTGACTTTCCTGAATAATTAGATATTGTCCTGCAAAACAGAAATATTATTGTACATTTATAACAAATAATAGATTTATATAATAAAGATATCTTTATTATATAAATCTAGAGACATTTTAACAAATAAATATTGCAAATAAACGTACGTTCTGCTGCTTACGTGTTCGGAAAGGAACAACAAGTCATTATAAAACTCCCATGTACTTTCGTATGTAATATTATCTGCACCTGCTCCTGATGCAGGTATATGAGCAGCAACTTTTCTCCGTTCTTTTTGAAAAGTGTCTCTTAAGTGTTTAAATCTTTTTGCAGCCATATCTCCTGCATTAAAACAAATTCATATAAATCAGAGTATTAAGCTGACACAAAAATAACCTATTATACATATATAGTGAGGTTATATTATAATTAAATTAATAATTTATAGGAGATTATGAATAGTTATTTACACTCATACATATATTTATGTGGAAATAAATATAAAATCTTACCTGTACATGGAGGACCTAACCTAGCACCAACACTTTGCCAGGCTAAATCTTTGGCTTGCTTATCCTTGAACATACGCGAGCCCTTTGCATATAACCCCAGATTATTGCGCACGATAGCGATTAGTTGTCTTGTTCGTTCTATGGACCAATACGGAATTTCGCTCATTTTCTTTTCGCTGCGTTTCATCACATGTCACAAGCATTGAACTATAAACAAGTTACAAACGTAGTCTCACTTTCCCGCCATCTTTTGCTTTTCTCTGATTGGTCGACGCAGTTGCCGCAACGCAGAAAGATAAAGTTGGTTCAACTAGTCGCGTATGGCTGATTTGCGAATGCGTGTACGTTGCGTGTAGTGAAACGTCATCCTGCGTGCGCGTCTGCGTCCTGCGTTTTGCGTATTTCGTCCTATGTAGACGGGCCTTAAGACTCGTCGCGGTTCGCAGCCGTGACGCACGCAGAAAACTGCACTCCTTGAGATGATCACGGCTTACAACCGTGATGTCCAACCTCAATTATAATTTGATATCGTCATGGCTTAGAGTTGTGACGTACTCAATCACCTTCTCTACATTGAAGATCGTTGCGGCGTTCGCTGTGACGTCGAAGTGTGACTTCAGTCATATTGAGACGTTGCGAACGCTGATGCGATGTTTATAACCAATTGAATTAATATTATTCGACTATTTACAGCTCCAACTTAATTAAAGGATAGCGCGGATATAGAGCTTAAGGAACATTCAACGCTCTAGTTAACACCCAGGTAACTTCCCAGGATCGCCACAATACTTATTACAGTCGGTGTTGATGACTTAAGGACATTTACCTTTAATTTTTCTGTTTGGTTTTACGAAGCAAAGGTCAGATTTACTGTATTATATTTATTTTCGTTATTCGCGATTTTTAATATTGACTTAAAGTGCTCTCTGGCGTTGCTCGGTGCGACAAAGTCCGTATTATTTTCTAAATCTAGTTCTTGTTATTTATAATTTTAGGAATTACGTTAACTTTCTTCCCATCAATCGTTCCGTGAAAAATTCAACAATACTACTTTTATACAAACATTTTATCTGTGATTTTGTGTAATACCGAGTATTATATGTATAATACACCATGTAAACATATACATTATAGTATAAGTAATAAATAATATTAAATTGTTAGGAAATAATGCTGACGTCGACCAATCCGGCAAGTTTATTGATTAAACGTACA